GCCCCACACGACAGCGACGCGTAAGAAGAAGGAGAAGACGTACCAGCTTATTCCTCTATACCAATAGAGCAGGAATCGGGACCCAGTGCTGCCCAAGAGAGGAGGGAGGAAGGCAGACAGAGAGGGGAGGGGACATTAGAGAGGTGCTCAGAACAGGCTGCCGCTCTACGGAAGAAAACAGGCTGACACGACAACGCTGGGGGGGGACCAGGACAGCGCAGCCTCCCAGGGCCTCCCCAGTGGCCCTCCCCACCGCCACACCGGCCCATGGCAGAGGGGTGCCCCGCCGGCCCCTCCCCACACCAGCTCAGTCTCCCAAAATCCGGCCCAGATGGTTCCCCTCCCTCAGCCGAAAGCAGGAGCGCGGTTTGGGGGCAGGCACGGGAGGCCACTGTCACACAAACTGTGCCACGTCCATGGAGCGGCCGCAGCCCGGAGAGGAGAAAGGAGGGGAAGGACAGAGACAAAAGGGTGAGGGAGGAGGAGAGATAACTGAGGGGGGGACAAGTTACCTCTGTGTCAGCCCCCCTTGCCCACAGCTCGCTCTGCCCACCGGGAGGAAGCGGGAGCCCGTGCTCCGGGCTGATGTGTCCCTGTCTCACCCCGAGGACGGAGCATGCCACCCGGGCTGGGGAGGCTGCCCGTGGTCAGGCACGTGGACCACAACCCCCCCATCCTGCCCCCCGTGCCCCTCTGGGCCGCGAACCGGAGCCGTGAGTATGGTAGGGTGGCAGCAACGGTGCCTCCGAGCCCAACGGCGCGGCCGTTACCTGGCAGGTAGACGTCTACCGGAGGGTCGCTCTCCGACTGCGTCAGGCTCCTGTGCTCGCTGCAGCTGCCGTCCTGCAGGACGTCTTCGACGGAGGGCGGGCGGCTACCTGGAACCAGCCAAAAGCACAGCCCCCTCAGCCCCCCACACCAGCTCTGTGGGGGCACACGGCCAGGAGGGGTTGAGATCTCCCACATGAGGAAGGTCCTCCCAGCGGTCTCAGGAGAGCCGGTCAGACTGGCCCAGGTCACAGCACCAAAGGGCCACCGCTTCATACACAGTCTCATGCCCCAAAACACACCCCGCACAACCCTCTCACCCCATCCTCATGCCCTTTGGATGCCAACTGAGCACCAGAGACCCATCCCAAAGACACGGGGCACGTCCTGCATGCCCAGTACTGTGGCCATGTGGTACATGCTGCCATCTCCCCCTCAGCCACACGAGAAGACAGCCCATTTCATGGACAGCTCTACTTGTGCAGGGAGAGATGCTGAAGGGGGCCTACAAAAATGCTGGAGAGGGACGTTTTACAAGGGCATGTAGCGATAGAACAAGAGGTAATGGCTTCAAACTGGAAGAAGGGAGGTTTAGAGGAGATGTAAGGAAGAAATTTTTCACTCTGAGGGTGATGAGAGCCTGGCCCAGGATGCCCCGAAGGGCTGTGGCTGCCCCATCCCTGGCGGGGTTCAAGGGCAGGTTGGAGGGGGCTTGGAGCAACCTGGTGTGGTGGGAGGGGTCCCTGCCCAGGGCAGGGGGTGGCACTGGGGGGGCTTTAAGGTCCCTTCCAACCCAAACCAATCTGTGATTCTACACTTAGCAAATAAACCAGGGAGATTAGGTGATTTTGTTCCCCACTTCTCAGGAGAGACCCTGCCACCTTTCTCTGGTGAAGGACAGCAGTTCAGAGACAGAACATCAGAGACGGATGTTTCTGAACTCGTATGTTCATTCCCCAACTGTCCCCCATCCCACCACAGCAGAGATGGACACCAAGACAAGGTCTGGCCGCCCCCACGGCCGAGTGCACACCTACCGAGCTGCAGGGACGAGGTCTCCTCGATCTCTTCCCCTGCCATGCTCTGGAAAGAGGAACAGCACAGGTTACTTCTGCGGGCTGGAGGCCTTTGTTGCGCTTGTCTCCTACTCTGGATTTCTCCAGAGAGCTGTGCTCGGGGCCAGGGACTCACTTCCCAGAGGGAGCAAGGGGCCACCCACCAGCGCTGTGGCATCATGAGCGAGGATGGAGGGGGTTTTACAGCAAGGCCCAGCTGCCAGCCCTGTCCTGAAACGCCACTGGGCTCATCCAGGAAGCTGCGGGAAGGTCAGCTCTGACATGGCTCCAGCCAAGTGGCTTTCCAACGCTCCCAAAGAGGTGTTAGGGACACAGGGAGCGGCTACATCCTTCCCATGGAGCCCTACGGGTAAATCAAGGCAGCCAAGGCTGGTGGCTCCAGGCTACTAGTGCTCACAAGCTCATCTTCACCCTGTCACTGAGGAAGGGATGGATGGCCCTTCACAAGGCACCTCTCGTGTCCCAGAAGAAGCACCCCCCTGGGAAGAGCCCTGGCTCGGAGCAGCTCCCCAGCAGAGCACACTTACTTCTGGAGAGCTGGTCTCTCTCAGGGCCAGCTCACCCCCGCCCAGGGCTGGCTGCGAGTCCGAATCCTCAGAGAGCTTCTCTTCATCCTCCTCATGGATCGGGGACGAGGGAGACCGTAGTGTGCTGCGGCG